GGGGCACGAACCCGCGTCCCCTGCACCGGCAGGCGGACTCCCAAGCACTGCGCCACCAGGGAAGCCCGAGAATGCTCAATTTTATATGAATTTTTCTAAACACTTAAGCTTTTCTTGACAGGATAATACACTACTTCCAAAAATTTATGAAATTCAATAGCACTAATGTTCTACTACATAATCCAGCATATGTGAGAATAGCAAGTAAAATTATGTCTTACCTTTAGTCCATTCTGTGGGTTCATTAGAAAATTTCTTCCTATGTCATCAAACATGATGGTGTTTTTTTTGCTGTAAAACTCCGAAAACTTTCCCCATATAACACCAAGAGGCTTTACCTTAGAATAAAAGTTTAGATTTAACTCAAGTTTCATGAATAGTTCATCCTTTCTTAAAAGCAGAAATACTGCAAAATGCCCTGCACAACTATGCCACAGTGTTCCTTTACCATGAGGCAGTGATGGCTGGCTGTGTGAACAGAACAGAATCAAGATGCAACACACTGTAAGGCACAACATATCTCTCAATGTCAACTTCTGAAAGGTCTGTTCATGTCTAATGGAACTAAGCCCATTATAAGACTTCCTATAATTTTAATATGAAGATTCGGGATCAAAAAAAGTATTTAGTTTTTAAAAAATCTAGTATTTGTTTAGGTGTCTGCTGAGCATTCACATGTCCCCTCAGGGCTTGAGGTTTCACATGGGGTCTATTTTCAAAACTAGAAAACCTTAATGACAATGTACCTGGTTCTTTTATTACAATATTTAAATATTTTGTAAAGGAAAAATGGACTTTCTCCTTAGTTCAGTGGTATAGGTGCACAATTTCTAGGGCATCTGATTATTTAACTTCAAAACACTGTAAATTCTTGCTTTTATTTCTGAATTCTTAAAATGAGCCTCCAAAAAGGTAATTTCTCAGTTATTCATATCTGTTGATACTTGCATAAATTCTCTGTAAGATCACACAAGAAATAATAGTGATTGCTTCAAGGAAGGAAAGTTAAGTGGCTGGAGGGTCCAGGAGGGAGGAATACTTTTCACTATACACTTTATTTGTGGATCATGTGAATATATTTTACACACTCACAAAAATATTTTAAGTACATTAACTTTTAGAAGAAAAAGTACATTTTGCTGAAGGCAGTAGTCTCACTGATGGTAATGTGAGATTATATGATGATAATAATAATTATGAGATTAAATGGTAGTAAATAAATGGTGACAAGCATTGTCATTAATTTTAAAATGTTTTTTCTCCTCTATAATTTCTTTTAATACGGAGAAAGCCTTTTTCTTAGTGTCATTATTGCAAAAAATGTTATTCAAATATTTAAATTTCACTAAAATTTTATTTGCTGTATTTGTTTGCACTATTTCTTTACTACTGAAACAAACCCCCCAAATACTTGAAATATACAGAAACTGACACAATAAACCAGATTCTGGGTTTTCTTAGCCAACATAAAGCCTCAAAAAATATAAGAGCTTTATGACACCCAGGGTTAGAAATCCTACATCTTCTTAAATAGTGCTGTCATTTTGCAATTAGGTCAAGCACCATATGTTCTCCAAAACATGAGCTACCTTGTTTTCAATTAGAGAAGTAATATTGCTGACTGTAGAAAAAAATCTGAAAACACAAAAAAGCACAAAGGAAAATATTTAGTTACCTATAATCCAGTTAGTACCAAAGAATACAACTAGATATTCTGATATATTTCTCCAGTCTTTCTGATAAACAGCAGCAACCTCAAAGAGTTCACAGATCTTTTGTAAAGCTAAGGGAAGCCCTGAATCAAACAACGGTTAAAAACTATTCTCTAACAGTTTGCAAATACTGCTAAAATACTTCTTTCACTTTAATAATGTATCATGAAAAATTTCTGAAGCACTAAATACTGCATCAAATAATTAGCTACGGGGCTTCCCTGGTGGCGCAGTGGTTGAGAATCTGCCTGCCAATGCAGGGGACACGGGTTCGAGCCCTGGTCTGGGAAGATCCCACATGCAGCGGAGCAACTGGGCCCGTGAGCCACAACTACTGAGCCTGCGCGTCTGCAGCCTGTGCTCCGCAACAAGAGAGGCCGCGATAGTGAGAGGCCACGCACCGCAATGAAGAGTGGCCCCCGCTCGCCGCAACTAGAGAAAGCCCTCGCACAGAAACGAAGACCCAACACAGCTAAAAATAAATAAATTAATTAATTAATTAATAATAATTAGCTGCATTCCATTAAATGGACGAACAAAAATGTGTACAACCAACTCCCTACTGTTGCAGGGATTTGTTATTGAGGATTTCTTTTTATTCCTTTAATTTTTCATTATTATAAACACTCCTGTTTAACACTTCCCAAACTTTTTACTGTTTAGACTTTATACATGTACCACTTTAGTAGGTAATAAATTATACTTTTCCTTGATGTACGCAGTATTTCCTTTATTTAAAACTCCACACACACGTAATTCTATTCATGACTTTTATGACTTTGACAATTTTAATACTGTCTCCCCTAAGCTTTCCTAGTTTGCTAAGTTCTCCCCAATTCCTATTAGTCTGTGTTCCCAAAAGGTACGGACCATGTCTCCTCATCTCTTTATTCCCAACAGTGCCCATTACAGGGCCTTGCAGATCACAGATGTTCATAATATGACTAGTTACTTGACAAGTAAACAAAGTGAAGAACCTTGATCTTTTTAGCCCAACTCTTTCCTGATGGTTCTTATTGCTTTCTCTAGGGGTTCACGTACATCACCCCAAAGTACATGCATCATAATATACCTGCTTTTATTTATCAGTTTCATAGAGGGCAGGGCAAGTGTGTCCTGGTCTGTTTCTAGTATCTTCCTTGACAACATTCAGTATTTTTTCACACCTACTCTGTCTTTAGCAACACTGTGCTGTTATCATCACGGGACAATTAACCACGACCTTTCTTGACAGTCCTTCCTCAAGATCCTTAACTTTGTCACTAAAATTCATATCTGTTAACCTGAAATACATCTTATGTCAAAACTCAACTGATACTTTATTATCCATTCAGATGTATTTCTAAACTCTGTGTAGTTTATTCCATCAATATAAATATAAAAGTACACCAGAAAACAAGCAAGTCTTTAAATAAAAAGTAAAATGACTTCTTACATCTATTAATCCTCTCCTTGGAGTATGCACTGTTATCATAGCAGCACTGTCCAACATGAAGGTAATCTTGTAATTTGCATTTGTACTCACTCCCAGCTCCTATAAATACAAATATTCATGTGGTTAAAATATAATAATGTGGAAAATCCCAGGCTTTATGAAAAGTCCAGCTATAATTTCCCATAATGCCAACTTTCTACACCCTGGCTACTACACCTTGCTCAACAACTACCAAGCATTTTAGTTTCACGAAGCGAAATCGATAAATGACAGTCCAAAGAACCCGAGTCTATTTAGCTCTAAAATGAAGGGCCCTTTTCAATGTACTACCAGAAACAGGTTACTTCCCAATTTAATATTTTAGAAGAGCATCACTCCTTTAAGTATCACACACCAGAGAAAAGGAAAAGAAAGTATTAGAGTAAAATGGGAGAAAGAGGAGAGGAAGCTTTGCTGTACTTTTTCTTCAAAAAGACATAGGTAATCAATGCAAACCACCATTAAGCAGACTTTAAACACACCTCTAACTCCTGATACTGGCATTTGTTTTGCTACTAAATGCCCTCCAATGACAATGAAATTAATTCAATTCGGAACTTTCTAAAAAGACAAATGCAGTTTCAAAACGTTCTTAAATGGATTGTTTTCTAACACTTACTTTCATTTTAGCTTCAATCCACTTCATATTTGTTGCAGCTAAAACATGAGGAATGATAACACAATATGTATGAAAAGCTTGAATTTCATTTAAAAAATCTTTCTTCTGTATAAATTAGTTAAGTTTTCTAAGCAAGACTAAAAGTTCAAATACATCACAAATAATCCCTAGCATATTTATGGTAATTTCCTTTTAACTGTTTATAAAAATAAACTTATTTTAGTGTGTCTTCAAGACAATAACATTTAAACAACTTTTATCTAAAAGATAAGGTAACCAATGCTCAAAAGAACTCTGAACCTAGGAATTCATAAATCAAGACCTAACCACCCTTTTAAAAACAGCCCTAATACTGTTCTCTATCAGTTCTAAACTTGAATTTAGGGTGCCTGGATCTCCATTTTCTTCTGCGTTCCTACTGCCAGGCAACACACAGGTATATATGTCAATATAAGCAGATTAATGCTATGTGTCAAAAGTTTATGTTGAAGACTGCGAGGCTGAAGACTGTCGAAAAATGCTAATGAAAATTAGTATTTGGCCAGGCTCAGCAAACTTAGTGCTCATTGAGTCCAGCAGCTTTTAACAAGAAGTCTGAGGCAACTAAATTCACAAACCCTATCTATGTCACGTTCCTGCTCACTGTCACACACCAACCACTTCTGAGATCACTGATAAAAATTCAAACCAGTTTTATGTGCCCTACTCATCTCAAGTTATTGGACTAAACCATATAGGTATTACAAAGTAAAATGTTTAAAAATGAAAAAAGGAGTTCAACTATTTAAAGTGTGTATATGAGTGTGTGTTTATTATTTTAAGGGCAAAGAGGTTAGCTGAGTCCTCAAAATAAAAATCTTTAGCACACATACAAGAACCAAAATCACCTTACATGCAAAACTGGTCAGTTGAACTAAAATTTTAGAGAGTCATGTATCTACAATGACAACAATCAGGAGATAGGGGAAAACAATTTTTTTAATTCAGTATATATTTTGGGATTATAATCCCCAGATGTAAAACAGAAAGATTTACAACTAATAAAAAGTTTCTAATTATTAAGAAACTATTACATGTCAGACATGTTACTAGTTGCTATACCAATATTTTATTCTTACAACTACCCTGTAATGTAGATTTATTTATCTTCATTTCTCAGATGAGGAAGCTAAGGCTCAGAGCAATTAACTGACCTGCCTAGGGTCACAAAGTAAGGTCAGAGCCAGGATTAAAACCCTAGTCGGGCTTCCCTGGTGGCGCAGTGGTTGAGAGTCCGCCTGCCGATGCAGGGGATACGGGTTCGTGCCCCGGTCTGGGAAGATCCCACATGCCGTGGAGCGGCTGGGGCCGTGAGCCATGGCCGCTGAGCCTGCTCGTCCGGAGCCTGTGCTCCACAATGGGAGAGGCCACAACAGTGAGAGGCCCACATACCGCAAAAAAAAAAAAAAAAAAAAAAACCCTAGTCTATTTAGCTCCAAAATGAGGTGCCCTTTTCAACGTACTACCACGAAATTTATTTTTAAAAAAAAATTTATTTTAAACATATGATTGTAAAAAGTCCTCAAAGTCCCTAAGTCTACTCTAATAACATTTAGAGGATAAATTTTTTTCTCAAATGTCATCTCAGATGTCAGAGTTGCTGAACAAAAACCTATTTCCCAGAAAGCTTTCTTCTCTGTATCTTAAAAACCAGAAAATTATGTATTTAACTACTATTGAATTGTAATGGCTATGTACTCATAATAACACTAAACTATTGAGATACTCCGATAATAAAAGAAAATACAAAGGAAATTTACAAACTGCAGAACAACTATGTGGCCTCTCATCAAAAACCTAGTACGATTACCATCTTTAGGGATTTTATTTAATTCACAGTTAGGATAGCTCTTTTCTGCTTACGACATTGCCAAGACGTAACTTTAAATGTCTGTGGGAAGGTGAGATGTAAATCAATACACTCCCCTTCCCTTTTCAGGTCGTACCACAAAAAGATTGTCACCTGAACTAAACAGTGCATTCAGTAGTGTAGTAAATTTACTTTTTGGAGCAAACTCACTGTTACCACAGACCTGTAAGTTCCTGGAATGGCAGACCACAAGTTGAGTAACAATGCTTTAGCCCATTTATTAACTTTCCTTGAGTAAATTCATATTGCCTTTATTTCTGAACTACATCACTGTAAAATTTTTTTAAATACATATCTTTCTCCAAGTGTTTTGAGACTAGAGTGATGAAGAAAGGAGAAAGCAAGAATATACTAAAGCATCGAAGATTCTACAGCAAAGATCAGAAAGAAAAGATCCTAATCAAGATGGGGTCTTGTGAAAATAAGGCCATTTTTTTTTCACACCATCTATACCATAATCTACTCTCTTCCTATATTTAATTATTTCAGTGGTATTTGGCAAATGCACTTAAGTTTATATTGTGATGCAAGAAAGTCAAACATGCTTCATCAGAAATTTGCAAAATATAAAATTTAAGTCACATTTTATAAAGCAGAGTAATATAAGGAACAACCTTATTTTCATGGAAATCTAAACAAGAAATATAGCTTACACCAAATAACAATGTCATAATCCTCATATGCAGATGTTAGGAATTCATGAAGATATGGCCGCATTAATTCTACCCCAGTCTCTGCACAAGACCTATGGTCTAAAAGAAAATCAGTTAGAGATGATGATTAGTTTATTATCATGGACAAGTACCTAATATCAATTAAACTTCTGAAATGTAATATAAACACTCAAATACAAACTACTTCAGACTAACTTACATCAGCTGACAAAGGGATGTCTTCGAAGCACACAATTTAATATTCTTGCAATCCAATTTTAATTGATCAATTCTGTTCAATTTGCAAAGACCAATATCCAGAATTCAGGCTTATAAAATAAACAGTAAATTTTTTTCTCATCTAATCTCTAAAACGTAGATGTTATTTTAGGATATGAAAAACAAACTTTTTAGCCATTACCTACCAAAATATAATCATATTTCACCAAAATAACAGGTTTGATTAACTTAATAATCAAATTTTTAAAAAAATTTACGCTAACTTATGACATGTACTTAAAGTTAAGGATTAGAGGTAAATAAATTCATTCTAATATCAGGAGTTAACTAATAATTTCTGGCAATATTAGAGGATGAAAGAACAAATTTCTTTTTTTGTTGACATGAAATTTTAAATTCAAGAATCTGCCTTGGGGCTTCCCTGGTGGTGCAGCGGTTGAGAGTCCGCCTGCTGATGCAGGGGACACGGGTTCGTGCCCCGGTCCGGTAAGATCCCACATGCCGCGGAGCGGCTAGGCCCGAGCCGTGGCCACTGAGCCTGCGCGTCCGGAGCCTGTGCTCTGCAACGGGAGAGGCCGCAACAGTGAGAGGCCCAAAAAAAAAAAGAATCTGCCTTGAACATAATTAAATAGAAAACCAGGAATAAAATATCAAAAATGATTTTTAAATAATCATAAAATGTTAAGTGTTAATCAATAGGGAATCATTTGATTAAATTATCACACATCCATAAACTAGAAAAGCGCCTGACCAAAAAATACATATATTTAACTCACAATGAATGTTAAATGACTGTGATGTTCAATATATCATTAAGTAAACATAAAAAGGACATACATACAAACACCCTGGAAGATGCACATAAAAATATGAGTGGTCATCTTTGGATCTTGGGATTACAGATGACTTCTTTTTTCCCTTACAATAAAATGATTTACTCTTAAAATAAAAAGAAAATCTTTCAAATACTTCATATTGCATATTGAAAAACAAACAAACAAAAGGGGAAAATGCCATTGTGGATAACAGAAGATGGAGCACAGTTTTAGCTGACTTACCAAATAACGTATAATCAACATCTAGTACCAAAAGTTTTTTCCCTTCCCTGGGAGGATTCAAAACTTCCACTTTGTACTCTTTTACTCTGCGGGAAATTTTCAGTAGGTTTTCCTCCCTAATGAAAAATAAGATCAGATGAAATATTCACTTTTTCTCCAATGACAACCAATTTCCTTTGATGATGAAAAGTACTCACCTATTTTCTACTTCAACTACTTCATCTTCAATATCAAAGTCATTAATAACATCATCATTGTCAGGAGGTGGACCTAAGACATCTTCCTATTAAGATGAAAAATAGTTTTGTTTGGCCATATTATCATTAACATAACAAATACATTCATAGCATAAAGAAAACTAAGAGGTACGATTTGAGTCCAAGAGTCTTGCAAGCACACACTACGGGAAAACTTCCACATTTTATATTTTGTTATATATGTTCACTGGGCAGATTTACCATGTTAAATTTGACCATTAGCACTACTACTACACTTACATCTAGCTATACACTAACAAATTTCCCAGTATTTGGTTTCTGCTGAGTTAATAACACATTCATTGTGCAGCTTTTACTTTTCACTGACTGCTAAACTGACAATTTTAACACAATTAAAATTATGATACAACAGTGTGATATAAACCATAATATCTTCAAAGGGACAAATGGTAACAAAAGTAAACATTTACCAAGCTCTCCTCACGAGTTCCCATCATCATGATTTTAGTATTTGGTTTCAGTTTGAGAGCTCCAAGCTTAACATCATTTTCTGCAGGTTTGCCTACAATACAAGCAAATGACTGTTTTCTCACTAAAGTTCAGGTGCTGGTTTCACTATCCCATTACACAAAACCCTAACATTAAAAGGTTTGGTACAGATTCCACAGCAAGTTTTTTTCCTTAAATTAACAAACTGTTACTGCTGAATTAGCAATTTCTAACATACTAAGAAGTAGTAATTAACACAAGGTTGGAATTTTTCCCCAACTCTTAGAGGAACACCTTTAATTCAACTAACTAAACAAAATAAATTCATGTTTTATTCTGTTGTTCGAGATGAAGATGACTGTTTTCCAGAAAGTCCTGAAAATTGAGTGCCTGAGATAACTGTACATTTACTGCTACTCAGAACTCACCGTTCAATGATAAGACAAACACCGTGAAAATGCCTTTTAACGGAATGTGAACACTGCCTATAATTTACAAATCATTATTACTTTCGAAACAGAAAAGATAATTTGGGGAGAGTAAAAGGCCCAAACTGTAATGAAAAGGCTGTGCTAGAAGACAGATACTAGAAATTACACTGGGGGCTTCCCTGGTGGTCCAGTGGTAAAGAATCCGCCTTACAATGCAGGGGACGCGGGTTCGATCCCTGGTCAGGGAACTAAGATCCCACATGCCGCGGGGCAACTAAGCCCGCGCCACAACGACTGAGCTCGTGCACCTCAACTAGAGCCCGCATGCTACAAACTACAGAGCCCACGCACGCTGGAGCCTGCGTGCCACAACTAAAGAAAACCCACACACCAAAACTAGAAAGAAGCCCACACACCACAAAGAAAGATCCCGAGTGCCGCAACTAAGACCCGACCCCGACACAGCCAAAAAATATTTAATTAAATAAATAAATAATACATAAGTCTTAAAAAAAAAAAAGAAAGAAAGAAATTACACTGTTTACCTGGGACTTCTGTGTCACAGGTTTAAAAAGCAAACATCAACTGTCAGAGGAAATCAAAAGTAATCTTAATAGTGGTGGTATTTTCAGGTATCCTTAAATATTCTTACTTGTACCATCAAAAAAATTTTAGGGATATCCCTATCAAAGAAATCTCCAAGGAGAAAGACTTATTAAAGTGAACAGATAATAGCTAATATAAAGATTCATAAATATATCAATGCAATAAATTTGAAGAAGGGAGAAAATTACCTTTAACTTTGAGTCCAAGTAACTTCTGGCGTTCTGGTAGCACTCCCGTAAGGGTCTTGAGAAACTGTTTGAGATCTAGCACAGTATCATCTTCTGAAAGTGTGGTCACTGAATATTCCTGTCCACCCCATTTTACAATGATAGGAAGAGCCATCCTTGAAACATACGATGAGGCAGCTTTTGTTCAGAAAAAGATACCTAGAAAGAAAGGCATATACAAGTTAAAATAGATATATCAAAGATGTATGTAAACTTGCAACTTTAAGTTTTATAAACTGTGTCATTTGAGTCCTATTTTACAACTTGATGATAGAGAAACAGGATTTTCTACTTACAGAAATGTTATCAGAATGCCAAAAGTTATCAGGAGTCAAAGTTAAAATTCTCCCACCCTCTCAATTTTTGGCTTAAAGTTACAACTTCCTAATATTCTATCAGATTCTCCTTGTTCGAGTGGAAAGCTGCAATAAATGAGCTAACTATTCCTCCCTCTCTGATCAGGTTTATGCTACTGGCAAGTTCCTCCATGATGGACCGTCCATGTTCATTTACCATTTGCAAGGTAGGGCAGTGAGTTGTTAAGAGCACAAACTCTAGAGACAGATTACCCGGTTTCAGAGGTCAGCTCTCCCACTTATTAGCTATTTAACCTTGGAAAGCTAACTGACTCTTAGTGCCTAGGTTTCCTCATCTGTAAAACAGGGATGCTAATACTGCCTACTTCTCAGGGTTCTTAAGAGGAGTAAATTAATTTTTGTAAGTCACATACTACCTGGCACATAGTAAGCTCTAAACAAGTAAGTACTGGTTACATAAATTGTTTTAAAAACTAGAACTGAAGTGTTCCAGGCACTGCACTAAATAGTAAATGGCCATTATTTTTTTCATATTTAATACACTGGACAGTTTTTACTCAATCTCCTTTAACAAGGTTGTTTGATAAGAACTGTCCCTCTTTTACAATTAAGGAAATAGGAGTTCAGAGAGGTTATGTAATCTGCTCATTGGCACATAGCTGATAACAGAACAAGTCTTCTGACTAAATCTCATTTTCTTCCCTTACACAACTGTCTCTCTTGAATTGCACCTACAGGAGTTAAGGCACCAAATATCAGTAAATACAAAACCTACAGGCACAGATATAAGTACACGAAGATCATATAGCAGCTGCCACTCATCAACAATAGCATGTAGGTCTCCTCCCCCCATAAAGCTTTCTACCAGTTTTCATAAGTTGGTTCCCCCAACAGGTCAGAGAACTAGATTTTCTAATCTCAAAGTAGTGGTATTTCCAAATGCTGTCATATATTTAATACATTTGACTTCACTCTTCAAGTATTACAACCAACTGCAAGAAAGAAGGCAAATTATAAATCTTAACATGCAAACGTAATTTGGAAATTTAAGATGTCTTCAACATGCCCATTAGAAAAGAGCACCGTAAATTCACTTACATTTATTCCATGTTTACAACCTGCTCTACTAAAACTTTAAACAAGGTGTGTTACTTTAGGGCAATGTATTCTATTTGGAGAGAACTTGCTCTAACAAACGTTATAATCCTCAATAAAAAGCCAAATGGCCCGTTTGAGTCAAATTGAAATATCATTTAAATATTATTTTTCTGTGAGAAGTGGAAATAAAACTGAAAATTTACAAGAGCTAGGAATGCAAACAGCACTAATACAGCATACTGTGTTGGGCAGAGCAGAACATGTGAAGTGAGATCACCTGAACTCTAGGTAAGCATGGACAAGTCACTGCACCTCTAGACCAGTGTTCTCAAAGTGTGGTCCCCAGACCATCCAACAGCATTGACCCCACTTGGTAACTTGTTGGGAATGTAACTGGGTCTGGAGAGAAGAGACCTAGCAATTTGGGTTTTAACAATCTCCGTCTCCCCCTCCCCCCATCTCTGAGGCATGCTAAAGTTTGAGAGCCAGCGCTCTAGGCTCTTCAATTTTCTCAGCCTTAAAAAAAAAATGTGCCAGATGGCATGGGCTCTATGTGCTTAGTAAAGCAGTATACAAATGTCATCACCCATGCCACAAGTGGGATCTCCAAGTTGACAACTGCTCTAAAGGACCAAGCACAACAAAACAAACACCATAAAAAATTTTACTGCATAAAGTCCTTAAAACTGTTTTTCAAAGTTACTGAACCTCATTCCTTCAATATTCAGATCATTAACAACAATGGAGCAGTGCAATGCAAATGCATGAGTCATTTTATGTTTTCACATTTAGCCTTCTTTCTTACACAATTTTAATGTTTTGTATCACTGCGGACCCTATCAGATTTATAAACTGAAAAATGATTTTAGGGGTAAATGTGGCAATCAAACCCGAACAAGTAAGCAAGGAGCACACCTTTACGGTGAAACTACAGTCAAGAACGGCTGTTTGGGTAAATTCTTCTACCTAACATACAGTGGTGACTTGCCTAGTCAGGGCAGGAATGTTTACTTGACAAGAATAGTGTTAATCCCTGCGATAACAGCCGTGACATCACTTTGTATACTATAAAAAGCAATACGAATGGTGGTGAAGATAGGAAAATGATAATATGCTCAACAACTTAATTGAATAATCTCATTTAATCTTCACAATCCTAAACTGACAACTACTGTCTTCATTATACAGACTAGAAAACTGAAAAAGAGGAAAAACAAATTGCCCGAGACCACACAACTAAAAAGTAGCAAAGGCGGTTAATTTGAAAGTAACAGCAGCAAAAGTTAACACCTTGGGAATTGAGGGGAGGGAGTTAAATTTAAACACGCCCAGTAAAGGGTAACTGTTTAAGTACTGTCAACTCCTCCTCGGGAGAGCAGGGCAGCAGCAACTGCGAGGGAGTGCAGAGGAAAGAGCTGTGGGAAGTGACTGGTATGAGACAGCACAGAAGGCAGGCAGAGACCCCAAAACCCCAGAGGGCCGGGATACGTTCAACACGGAGCAGGGAGAGACGGACAAACCCCAGAAGAGGGAGGAAGAAAGGTTTGGGGACGCAAAATCCACTGAGGCGCCGGAAGCCCTCCACCTAGGCGACGAGGCTGGATGGGAGGGCGTCAGCCCCTGTGAAGAGCCGGCCGGGGCCGGAGGCCTGGGCCGCGAACCTGGGCAGCCGCGGGCGGGGCCCCCACGAGCAGCCACCAGCCCGCCCGCCCGACCACAGTGGAGGCCGGGTCTCGAGGACAGCAAAGCTGCAGTCCCCCAGCCCCACGGCGCGCCGGGGTGCCCCGCGTCCCCTCACCTGGAGCGCGGGGGAACCGGCAGCAGTGGACGCAGGAACCGACCGCAGCGGAATCCAAGGCGACCGGAAGTGAGAGGCGGGGACCGGAACCGGCTAACGAACCGGAAGTTAGGGTTTGAAACGGAAGCGCGCCGGAGAGCGGAAGGTCGCTTCCTTGTTTCTCTCCGGGCAATGATGTTACATAGACGTTGCCAGGGACTTCCTCACCGCGACGAGGGAACCAGGCCTTTCCGAGAATGTGACCGCTGTACGGATGCCTGCGAGTCCTGGATGGCTTCCGGCCCTCGCCCGTTCTGCGCATGCGTCCGCTGGCGGGCTTTGAGTTGGGCAGGCCCTGCGGGGGTATGACGTCTCTGGTATTGTTTCTCCAAAGTCGGAGCTGGAGTCGGTGCGCTGACTTCCCTAGGTGTGCTGAGATCATCCTGGGACTCGGGCCTGAAACTTGTGTGGCTTTGTCATGTTCCGAATGAGGCCTGAAAGGTGAAGACTTGAGAACTCTACCTGGCACCAGGGGCCACCAACACTAGTAATTTCAGGAGTTTAGAATTCTACCCGTTTTACCCAATGGAAGAGGGAACAGGATCATCAGGGAAGGGGCAAGCCCAAGTCTCAGAGAACCAAGGAAGCAAATCTCATGAGAGCTGCATCGAGATTCCTGTAGTCTTGTATCGAATTAGTCTCCACCCGCCCGTTCCCAGGTCCATTCCAACTTCCTGCAGAATGCTAAGAAAGTCAATTACAAACCCTGACAAAAGAATTCCAGGGTTTAATGGAAATTCGGAGCAGCCGCTGTCTGGTACAGCGAACTCCCAACGTGCATCACTTTATGATAGGCAAGAAAAAGAAGTTAATAATTGCCCACTAGATTGTTGTATGTGGCGGCAAAAAAAACTTAGGTTTTGAAAAGGAAGGGAATGGGAGAAAATAATATTGGCCCCAAATATGCACTAGGTCCTTGAATTACTTGTATTTTTCCTTCTACTTGACAGCAGTGTCACTGATCCATGTTTCCCTTTTGGCTGTCATGGAATGGAAGCAAAGAGCCAAGTTTTGTGTCTTAACAGTTTTTTAGTTAAGACACAAACTATTTTACGTTTTCCTTCCCTCTTTTGGTAATTTTTATTGCGCTAGTAATGTATGAGTATCTGCTCATTTTAAAAAATGAAACGTATTTTCAGTAACAAGTATTCCCGCTATCCTTCAAAAAATGGGAAACGGAAAACCCAAAGTTAAAAGAATTTGTACAAAAGTCACACATTAGCAGTCTAGCCAAAGAGATGGCCAAAAGACAAGGGACTGGACTCCAGAATGAATTTTCTTTCAAACCAATCTCTTTTTTGCTTTGTTCACGTGCCAAACAGCTTCTTGGCGACTTTATATTTTTGCTGTTGTGGTTAGAGAAACTTGTTTTTGTTAACAGAACGGTGAACTAAAACATTTTTAAGCTTCACTAATTCTAAACAACAGGATACATAAGGAGATTCCTTTTAATCATGGAATAGCCATTGTATAGAGAGTCTGATAAGTCTGGTATTACTAGAGTGTAAATAATTTAATAATTACAAATTATCTAGCCAAGTGTTGAACCGTAGTATTTCTCAGAGAAGAATGGTAGCAGAGATTTACCAGATGATTTTAAGTTATCTTATGCCCAAATCTCAGTTCCTCCAAGTCCATTTATAGACTTGGTCCATTTATCAGATGATTTTAAGTTATCTTATGCCTATATTTCAGTTCCTCCAAGTACATTTATATTTAACTAAACATTCATTAAATCAAAAATAATGTTAAGAAAACACTTGGAGTGGATTGAAATATAACGTTGAATGAAAGAACTGGAATCGTGGTAACTAGGAATGTATATAAAGTGGACCTAAAAAGGGGCTCACAGCCACTCACAACTTCCAATAAGAAGAGAAAAATTAAACGTCTGCCTCCTGTTGCTCACTAGAGCCTTTTTCTAATGTGTGGAGGATGATATACTTGTGCTTCACTCATACTTCTCTGCAGAAACTAAAGGTGCCTGGGAATTCCTGCATAGGGTTTTGATAGGTTGTCACGTCTAAGTGATTAAAAGAAATGTGGAACAATTTCAAAAAATCAGATGGACAGGCTTCCCTGGTGGTGCAGTGGTTGAGAGTCCGCCTGCCAATGCAGGGGACACGGGTTCGTGCCCCGGTCCAGGAAGGTCCCACGTGCCGCGAAGCGGCTGGGCCCATGAGCCATGGCCGCTGGCCTGCGCGTCCGGAGCCTGTGCTCCGCAACAGGAGAGGCCACAGCAGTGAGAAGCCCGCATACCGCAAAAAATGCTCCGCAGCGAGAGAGGCCACAACAGTGGGGGGCCCGAGGCCCGGAAAAAAAAAAAAAAAAAAAAAAAAAAAAAAAATCAGATGGTAAACTGCTGATACCACTGTGCCCATGTTTGGATTGGAAGACAAAAGGACATTCCTGCACCCCAGACAGAAAGCTACCACCCCTCTGCGTGTATCTTCATCTTCCCCTGACTTCTTTACTTCATTCCCTTTCTCAGGCCGTTTTCTTCCTCTCCTTCCAGTTGAAAAACAATCCTCTTTCTAATTTCTTTGTTTTTTTTTTTTATTTAGTGCACTACAGCACTTTGTTTCTCTGTTTTAATGTTTATACCCTTGTTTTTTCCCTGACTGCAATTAGCTAAAAATGTTTAGCATCTACCCCATAGAACAGACTCTGCAGGACCTTAACTCACCCTGGCCAGTGAACTACTGCCTTTCTCTATTCATCTTGCTTTCCCAAATGACTACTTGAAACGTCAACTCTCTTCCAACCTCAGATCTTCCAGTTTATATCCTTGCTTTTGGCAGATGACATTGCCTCATATTTTGTTAAGAAATTAAAAAGTCTCAAAGAGGAATTGCCTGAACTTCATACCTCCATATCTACAAACTAAGTTATATCTGCACTTGTCCTCACTTCTTTTGCTTGTTTCAATGCGGCAATTTCCTTCTACCCGAAGTCAACCCTTATATTTGTGCTCTGGCTCCTTCCCTCTCAGGAAACTTTGTACAAATCCAGTATCCCTCTCTCTTGCTCTTGTATTTTTAACCTCTTTCTCTCTACAGGCTCATTTCCATCAATGATAAACATGCTACAGTATCTTGCCGTCATAACTACTATCCTTTCTTTTCACAGTTGGGCATTTCAAAGCATTGTTTGCATTTGTCTAAACTTGACATAATCCGTAATTGTCTATTTCAGACAATTTGTTTAGTGACAATCTTTTACTATACTGTAAGCTTTGTGAGGAAACAGACCATGTCTGCTCTATTCACCGCTGTATCCTCAGAGCATAGCATGATGTTGGCTAAAGCAGGTACTCAATACATATTTGCAAATGGATGAATAATGGATAAATAGAATGTAGAGAATAGAGAGATTATATAATAATACATATTATACATATAATAACATATATCAGTGATTTATAATAATTATAATTTGTAATTGACTCTGGATGTGCAGGAAATTTCTGAAATACACACCAAATGTTAACAGTTCATGGCACCATAGGATGCACTCAGTAAGTATTTGTTAAATGAATGAAAGAAATTATCTCTCGATGGCACCATAGAGCAGGTGAGTTTCACCTTGTTTATATTTTTCTGTATTTGAATTTTTTACAATAATTTTGCATTCTTTTTCTCTTTTTTAAAAAATAGTACAAGGCAGCTTCCCTGGTGGTGCAGTGGTTAAGAATCCGCCTGCCAATGCAGTGGACACGGGTTCGAGCCCTGGTCCGGGAAGATCCCACATGCCGCAGAGCAACTAAGCCTATGCGCCACAACTCCTGAGCCTGCACTCTAGAGCCCGTGAGCCACAACTACTGAGCCCACGTGCTACAACTACTGAAGCCCGCGCGCCTAGAGCCCATGCTTCTCAACAAGAGAAGCCGCCACAATGAGAAGCCCACGCAGCACAACAAAGAGTAGCCCTCGCTCGCTGCAACTAGAGAAAGCCCGTGCACAGCAACAAAGACCCAACGCAGCCAGAAAATAATAATAATTTAAAAAATAGTACAAGAATTCCCTGGTGATCCATTGGTTAAGACTCCTTGCTTCCACTGCAGAGGGCACAGGTTCAGTCCCTGATCGGGGAACTAAAATCCCACATGCTGTGTGGCATGGCCAAAAACAACAACAAAAATAGTATAAACACATCCTTACCACTATTAATTTTTAGGCCTATCCTTGAAAATCTTCTGTGCTTTAGATATATACACGTGTATAAAGTTTATACATATTTTTAAATAATTATGTATACACAGGAGGTTGCAAAAAGAGATTATGTGTACACTTCACTCAGTTTTTTCTAATGATCTCATCTTATGTAATTATAGTACAATATCAAAACCAGGATATTGACATTGGTACAATGTGTGTGCATATAATTGTATGCCATTTTATCACATGTAGATTCATATAGCCACCACTGCAATCAAGGAACAGACTTCTTCCATCACCGCAAAGATACGCCTTGTGCTCCCTCTTTATACTCAGGCCCACCCCCATTTCTCTCACCATTCCTAACCCTTTGTCACTAATCTGGTTTCCATCTCTATGATTTTGTCATTTCCAGATGTTATGTAAACGGAAATGTATGGTATATGCCTTTTGAGATTGGCCTTTTTCACTCAGAATAAGGCCTGTGGGATTTATTCAAGCTATTGTGTATCAGTAGTCCATTTCCTCTTATGGCTGAGAAGGATTCCCTGGTATGGATTTATCACAGTTTGTCTAACCACCTATTGGACATTGTGTTTGTTTCCACTTTTTGGCTTTTACAAATAAAATAGACCGTTTGTATGTAATGCAATTATTGATATTTTAAGGCTTCAGTCTGCCACTTTATTGTTTTCTGGTTTTGGTTTTTCTATTTTCTTTTTCCTGTCTTTCTGTTGGTTACTCAAACATGAGTTAAGAATTCCATTTTGATTTGTCTGTATTGTTTTAAAGTGTATCTCTTTGTATAAATTTTTAGTGATTGCTCTGAGTATTATATATACATAACT